TTTTGGAGAACACGTATGGACAAGTACGCATATCCTGTGAAGGCTTTACAAAGACGAGTCATAACAGTAAGTGCGTCCGCATGTAACACAGCTGTATCTATTTCTTATTACATATTTAGCATTTTATTGCTGCCTCGCTATTTACATGTATAGTGTCCTTTGATTGATTGATTTATCCAGTTTTATCCAAATGTGTTAAAAACCCAATGGGGTGAAGATGATCGGATGGAATTAGTAGAAGTAGACGTGGCGAAAGTGTTATTGTAGGTACTGTTTAAGCCATGCGATTAATCATGGTTTTTTCCCCCCTTATTTAAACTGTAATTATTGACCTGGTCATGATAAGCTTCTGTGTACAATTGTACACAATTGTTTTGTTTTTTTTGTTTTTTTAAATGAAGAGCAATTGAATTAACGAGTCAATGGTTAAAAACGTTATTGTGGCTTTATCTGAACCTAAACCCTGAATCATTTTTATTTGGCCCATGACCTAACATAAAAAAAAATTTAAAAAAAAACCCTCACCACCCAACCCTCATAGTAACAAGACTTTGATGTACTATAAAACTATAAAATAAATATGAATCTCTGTAACGAATACAAATTCATGAGTAATGGGCTGGCTGTGGACTGTGCTTGAACTCTTCAAAGATCTGTATCATAAATGAACCACCAAGGTGGTACACTGTTTTGGAACAGTGAAAGAGAAAGGAGAAATATTAACTAAATTTTAATCATGTCAACACTAATTCAAAGATTGGCCATTAAAAGTCACTAAAATACCCCATGTAGAAATTTTGTAAACTTAACACTCTCATGATTCAGCCGACAAATCTTGTCTGGAATTGCTTCTATGGACACACAGGCTACTGTGAGAGATGCTGGCATTGTCAACAGCAGCACATTTCGCAACGAGATTGATGACCCTGATTAATTAAATTCACTTGTATATCGACTAAACGTCCAGTTTTAAATGCCGACCGCATATGAAAGCTCTGATTTGCTATAATACAACATATTCAGAGGAGCCGCAAATAATTAAAGCTATGCAGAAGAATGTGGAGAAATAAGAAGCTCAGGTATAATCAGTGGTTACTTGTTTGTCTTCACCCCACCACCCTTTAAGCTCACACTCTGAGCACTAAGGGAATGTTGTGTAAAAGTCTTTTTCACCTTAACCGAAGAAGAAGTCTGTCCTTTGTGTCCCGATTCCTGCCTTAGCCCTGTTTGTGCTGGATATTCTGCCTCTGTCTCCTGCCGTACTCCACCCACGAACCAGATGTCCCTGGACTTTCTTCCTGTTCCCAGATCCACCTGCTCACCTGTTTGCTATTACCAATCACTGGAACGTCCCCGCCTACCTACACACCTGTTCCTCATTCCCCTCACTGTCTCCCCTGTATTTATACCAGCCTGTTTTCAATGCGTTTCCCCTTTGTGCTCTTCATGCTGTGGACTTGTTCCTGTTACCTTGCCCAATACCTGCATTTAGCTAGCTGTTGTCTCTTACCTGCCTGCCTGTCTGTCTGTCTGTCTTCCACACTGCCTGTAAACTCGGTCTTCCTCATTTATTTGATCAATTTGACTGCACCAGTCTCCCTATTTGTTTGTGCTGGGCTCCCCCCTGCCTGTGCTCCTTTACCACCAGCCGTGATACTTTGTTTTGTATGAATCTTAATGTGCATGCATGAACGTTTTTGAGTTCTGGTTGAGTGACCTTGCTCTACATGGAGGATGCATCTTCTCAGTGTTTTCTGATGTGTGATAAAGGCTTCATGCGGCTCTTCCACTATTAATGACACTTCTGCATAATAACATCTTAAATGGTTTTTAATTATCAGACGGGATGATTTGACAGAACTGTTCTTCTGTTCTGTCTACTGGGAACAATGTGGCTAGTATTGATTCATATATGGTTCTGTGATTATTAAACTAAGATGATAATAAAGAAATTACATTACAATATACATGGATAATTGGAAAGCCCTGAGCCCAACACAGCTGATTTATTCAAGGTGTATTGTGTATGCTTCACTAGAGACTTCAAGCTGTATGTTTGATAATCACATTTCCTCACCTCAGACCTGCAGCCGTAACAATAAAGCTGTGTTGCTGTTGTTTTTTTAATCTCTGTGACATTTTCTGACTGCACAAGAATGGAAACTGATGGTAAATATTGCAGTGAGAAACGGGAAGAGCTCATTCTCTATTCAATGGAAAAGCAACATCAAATATTTCTCTGATATTGATCTAGAACCTTTTACTACACATGCAAAACTTTTCTGAAGACATGATTTACTCGGACCTTGCTTTATGCATTGGAAACTGAATTTTGAAAATCTGCTCCTGGTTTTGTAACCACAGTGTTATATTGAATATATGTACCCAAGATACTCCACAACAAGCAGTTGGATAATGAACATGTAACAATCAGAAATAATTTGTAACAGCTCTCTTCAGCAGAGGTCTCTGAAATTGCTTGGGAGGAAAACAACCTGCTCAACAAGCCATGTTCATTCAGCAGACAATGATAATACAGTGATGCTCTCCACAAAGCAACTTAAGAGGATAGCACTTAGAGGTATGTTTCTCCAAAAAGCCCCTGAAGAGAGCCGGCCTGCCTGCTCCACTTCTCCCCTGACTGACAGCACACTCCAGAGGAGCCACGCTGCAGGACATGCACACTGATCCAGTCTGACACGCCTGACCTTTCCTGGGCCGCATGGCTGGCTCACCGTGCTGTGCGCCCTGCCCGGCTGAAAAGGCCATACAGTGCCATGCAGGCAGTGCCATCGCAGCCCACCCCACCCCACCCCACACCACCTCCTTATACTGCCATCTGAAGAGCTGGCAAGGTGAATGCCTGGGACTGCAGAAAGACAACCACTCAATCTGAGAGGCTCTCAACCGCATAACAAGGGCATGCCATCTGAATTTGGCAGAGATATACGATTGGTATTCCCCATTGCACCCTTAGGTGGAGTTAAGGTTTTTGTAACAAGTGGATTATTGTGTTTTTGTTACGAATGATGCATTTAACTCTGCAAGAGTCCTTTTTTTTTTTTTACTTTGACCCTATATAATTAAAGATACTTTAATTATGCTATTATTGCTCACACAGAAAATTATTATGACAATGAAATTTGCATGATACTTTTAGTCATCTCACTTAGTAAATGTGCCGTGTTCAGTGGACGGTTAGTGAGGGGTTCTAACACAGTGTGTCTGCCAGCAGTCTTGGTCGAGGCAGAATAATCTCAGAATAGATGCTGCAGGAGCCCACTGAAGAACAAGGGATGGGAGGACTGTAAGTGCAGATTCTGCAGCTGTGAAATGAAGAGCTGTCGCATCTAGTGAGCACTTTCCAGAGTAAAAGAAACACTTGGTACAGCAGAAATAAATCATGGGCTCATGTACTTCAGTGCATGATTGTATTTTTCAAAACAGAGAAGGATATTGTCCAGCGTGTGTGACAAGACGTTTGGTCGGTGCTTTTCCTATCTGATATTTACTTGTACAAATATTACTGAGAATATTCAACTGACTAATCATTTTTGACATGCTAGATTAATGAACAGCCTAAACTGTAATGCAATTTAAAAAGTCAATGATCCAAGAAACACTAACTGCACTGAAAAATACATACACCCACTGTGCTGAGTAAAAAAAAAAGCACGCACAAACATATATTGCTGATGCACTGACTAGTTCATTACAATGCACCCTTATTAGTGAGTGTACTGCATCTCTGTTATATCAAGCAATTGCAAATGTCTTCTGTACAGCAATTACGACTGAGATGAAGTGTTTCTGCTTTGCATTTCCTCTCAGATAACTTCATCTACCGAACAAACTTCTTGAAATAAATGGCATCAAATGTAAAGACGCTGTGCGGTGCAACGGTAGTGAGCTAGTTCTGTAATCCCACAAGTACACCTCAAAGGGACTCTGACACATCACACAAAGACACAAAGGCCGAGGACGCAGAGAGAGTTGTTTGTGCTGACTCCCATTTGAGTACGAAAACAGCACAATTTTCGACACCTTTACTGAGAAAGGAGGATACCCTGATTCACGAGGATGAGAATTCAGCTAAGAAAATCAGTCACTAACCCTTCAACTTATCCTTGTGGATCAGAGTGTGTGTGCTTTCATAAATTTCTCTGTCAAATTTCAATAGCTGCAAATAGAGCTTTCACCACTGCAATAAGAGCTTTCACCGCCAGGTGCGAGAACATTTGGACTGTGCTCTCACAAACAACTAATTTTCTTCTGTGAAAGGGGGCGTTCAGTAAATGGTTCAGTACAATTGGTTTACAACAGGGAGAATAACAGCAGCACAGCTGGGCGGGAGCAAGTTCACTGTGAATGATGTGAACACGAGGAACACACAGGAAATTTATGTAAGGGTCAAACAAAGTTTAATATTGTGCCAAATGCTGTTTTTGTAGTTTATACCATTACATTATGCTCAGTCTCACACACTTACCCACCTACCACACATGTGAGGTGTGAGTTAATTGCAATTGTTTGCCTTTTCACAATAACTGCCATTTGGTTTCTTTGTGGAAGCTTGCAGCAAATGTCTCGTCTATGAACTGATGGTAGAGAGTTGTGGTTCTATTCCTGACTTAACAATAATAGGCCTATATTTCTCCTGATGGGAGACGGTGAGACCCCATCCCAGCCTGTGCCCATTCCATCACTGCTCACTTTACGATTCAAGACAGAAGTATGTGCCAAATTACATAAGTTCAAAATTAAAGTTACATGTGGACTGCATCAAGAGGCCCCAGTGGTTTGTGTAATGCATGTCTGTTTGAACACACCATCTGCGACCCTGGTGATAGCTACAGTATGGGGGCCCAAAGAGCATGTTTTTTGTATACCTGTTTATTCACACAAAACACACGCGCGCGCGCGCACACACACACACACACACACACACACACACACACACACACACACACACACACACGCTCACACACACACACACGTACCTTTTATTCCTCTGGGCTTCCTTCTTATCCATAATAACAGGTACACAGTTCGTTAGCTCGGTCCAGTCTGCATGCAGTCCGCAGCTCCAGCCAGTGGAGAACCGGGAGAAAAGCCAGGACTCCTCTTTTCCTGGTCGGTGACATGTGCATTTCTTCTGTCCTGGCTTGCAGTCGCACGGCTGCTCCAAGCGAATATTCCTCACCAAGTGCCTCCCGAAAGTGGTTCCTCCGGTCTTCTGGATGTGCAGAAACACTATCACGTCGTCCCCTTTGATGTTGAACTCCACGTGTCTGTCAAGGTCTCTTTCGGTGAAGTTGAATTTTGACGGCACTTTTGGAGGGCTGTCATCCTCCAGGTCTTGATCTCTGTAGAAATCATCGGTGTCCTGGTAAGGGGTGGAAAGTAGGCTTACCCCCTCTAATTTCTCCCCAGTCTTAAAGTGGCACGAATTACTGCCGGCGGGACATATGTACTGATAACCTATCATAACAAAAAGGACAGCTAAAATAGGAACCAAGATGAGCTTACTGCATCTATCATCCATTATATCAAGATAGTGTCTTCATTCCATTACTGTGAATAATAAGTAGCACCCTCTGGTTCTTCAGGGATCAATAATCCTCCATGCCTCAGATACATTAAAGGTGCATTTTATTTAAGTGCCTCATGTTGATCAAATAACACCCTCCAAATACGCATGATCTGGACAAGAGGACAGGTCCGCCTTTAGGTTTCTAAAATATTGCACGCCGTCTGCACTGCGCTGGAAATCTTGTCCAAAGTCAAGAGTCATGGCATTAAAATGTTTGGCTGTCCAACTTCTGAAGCCAGTGTAGAGCTGCATCCGCGCCGACGACTCCCATGCTCCGGTATCAAGTTGAAACTGAGACAATCGAGGAGAGTTTTTAGTTTGGTTTTTTTTTTTGTTCTTTTTTTCCCCCCACTGTTCCCGGTTTAAATCGCAGTGTGGTTCATTTCTATGATAGACTTATTTCAGCAGAAATATCGCACGGCTCGGACCGCTGGGCTGGATCCTCCGGCGGCATCCTACAACATCCTTCGCGGGTTGAGGCGGTCTGACTGACTGTGCTGAAGCAGTGCTTTTGAGAGGATGCTGCTGCATCCGATCCGACAAATATGCGTTATGCTCTCGTCGTGGTTGGGCTGGCTGGGAAAGCTCCACATCCCATCCCGTCCATCCCATAATCTTGTTTAACACAGTGCAAAGCCAGAAGCCCAAACGGACCCTGAACTGAGACAACATGGAGATTTAACCACATATAAATACCAAATCCGCTGTAACTTTTTGAAGCGCATTCATCCGAGTGTGACCTTTGAGGATTAAAGAGATAGCACTATTACTATCCCTCTTCCTCTACAGCCTACGGTTGCCAGTGTTAATAATAAATATTTTAAATAGCCCAATTTGATGTCTAATATCTGTTCAAAATACAGTGCTGTTAGGAGAACCAGTTAAATGTGAAACAGCTGCTGCAAGAATGTTAGTCACACACCCATTGCAACCACAGACAATACAATTTTATCAACCTATTAAAAAAGCACAGATCTATCTATCTATCTATCTATCTATCTATCTATCTATCTATCTATCTATCTATCTATCTATCTATCTATCTATCTATATTTGAATTTATGTGTAGCTAATTCTTCTTTCATTAATGCTCCTAGTTGACTTAATTAGCGTCCATTACTATTTTAAGTTAAAATGTCATTTGTGGCCAACTGCCAAAATACCCAAAGTTTTAACTGATATGAAATGAGAAAGCTTGACATGAACCTGTAAAGTGATACCAAAATTATTTTTAAAAGGGATAGTCTGCCCATTTTACACATGAAGCTCAGTTTACTGGTCATGGGAAGTAGAAGGCCTACTCAACCTGTGAAAACAGCTGTACAATAACATCTGTGGCTCTGTGGGAAGCTTTACAAAGTCTGCGGAAAAGGTTTTTTTAACAGAAATATTTCATATAACAAACACTGTGGAGTCCCAAAGAAGTGAGCCTTTAGCAGGCAGGAAGGGACTATTGAAAGATGGGGTTTGAATTTGGGAATTGTAGGACACATAGGGATTATAAATCAGGACATCTCAGCCTCTTCCACAATGATTTTGTTGATTTAGATCATTCTTTTTTTAGATCTTTTTCTCACAAACTCACCAAATTTATAGAAGTCAAGTTTTATTCATATAGCCCAATAACCTAATCACAAAATTTGCCTCAAGGGGTTTACAATACAGTAGACACCTTCTATCCTTAGACACACTTGGATATACAATACATCTTGTGTGTACAGAAAAGTGAAACTATAGACAATCAGGATGACAAACTTACAGATAAGATATATTAAGTCTGTTACTAAATTGCTGGACTACCTCTCTAATTCTACTGACTGACTAATAGATTGATATACAAATAGTTTTTTCTGTAATAATAATAATAATAATAATATAAAGGTTACTTGTGATTATTATCATTTATTAAGTTATATCTGCATAGGCAAGTTATATGAACTTCATCTTGACATTAGCTCATTATAAACATAATGTAGTCTCTGGCAAATTCCTACACAGTTTTACTCTAACCACATACTCACTACTGTTGTGTAGCTACAGCTCTTTTCTTTTTCTTTCTTTCTTTCTTTCTTTCTTTCTTTATTTCAAGTCTATTCATTGATGTTAATTTTAAAGTTCAAATTAAATCATATTCATGTCTTTTTAACTTCTAGGTTCTTCACATCTTTAATTAAGGTGCCATACTGCTTCAGTTCAGACATATAAAATGATGAAAGCAGGATTTGGAGCCAGTTGGTATAAGAAATATATTCACTTACATCCCCCAAGATACACATCAAATACACTAATCCGCAAATTACTTCCCATTTTACTGACTAAACTCTGGATATTTTCCCAGAATAAATAGAATTACAAACTTTAAAAACACAAATAAAAAGGCAGTTTCCAACATTTCTCTTACAGGGTAAATTTGTTGTAAAACAATGGAAGATCTTATATAACTCTATTACTATTGCAGTTTATGCTGGATACAGTAAGCCTCTTTCCACTGTACAGTCAGAATAGAAGACCAAAATCATTTTTCTGCAGAAAATGAAATGTGCTTTTATGTGTTTATGTCCAGGTTTGAATAAACTGCCTGTGGAATTTGGCCAACACAACACGCTCCAGTGTTTGGTGGGAAAGCGTTTGAGCATCCGCGTATGCCTCTATAGCTGTCTGCCGCCGTGCCAGAGTAAATTCCCCATTTACAATCAGGTTTTATTTAATTTCGCACCCACTGTCACTCATTGTGTCCCTGCAAATAACCTGGTAAAGTTAGTCTTGAGACAAATACACGCCAAGCGTTATTTTTAATTTAGAGGTTGTTACAGTCGTGTTTAATGGTCTGCGTGAGCCACCCTGTTACGCCGGCAGCTTGCTAGCTGTGCGGGTTGACAGTTAGCTGCCCAAAATACCTACCTGAAGCATTTTGCTTTGTATGGAAGCGGTCAGCATCACTAAGGGGTGAGGGGTATATTATTGGAAACTTATAAACCAACAGCCATGTAGTTCTAATTACACTTTTATGTGTAGCAAGCTATATTTTTTCGTTAAATCACGCGAGTGTAGCGGTAACGTTTTCAACCACGACTAGCCTGTTTACCTTTGTGCTACAGTCAAGTTAACTTCAGCCTCAACGTTTATTTACGTTAAGTAACGTTTGGTATGGCTAACAACTCGATTATATTTTCTCACACAGCTTCTCATACAACGTTGAATTTGTGGACTTATTTTTTTATTTTTTTTAATATATATGTCAATGTGTACCGGTGTTGTGTTTGGGATAATGACTTACAGTAACTACGTGGCACTGCCTGGCACTTCTCTAAAGGCAGGGGATCGGTGCTGACCCCGCTGGTTTCTGCTCTCTGTAGGTTCATGACACGTCGCGCTGGCTATAATGAGGGCTGTTATTGTGCTGTCACTGCTGCTGCTGAACATACATCATGTCATATCAGCACCCAAAGGAGTCACTGCCAGTCTAAAAGCCAAGTGGAGCATGACGCCTTTCCTCCTGGAGACAAGGTACTCATCATCCCTGGACATGCGTTCAAACAGATAAGCAATAAACAGGGCCGTAGCCATGAGTCCGAGCCCCCCACATGCACACTCTACCAGGGGTTAAATCGGGATTTGTGAGGAGGGGGAGTACTTTGCCAATTAGGTGGAGGTGGTGGTGGTGGTGGGGGGAGCGGGTCATGGGGACAGTTTCTTCAGAAGAAAGTACCTCCACTGAAAACTTTAGAGCTTGTGTTCTGTGGATGTGGATTGTCCAGAGTAACAATGAGATTGTTTCTGGAAAGAGGTGTTGCTCTTTCTAAATATTTTTTGATTTAATGCTGTACCACAAACTAATTTCCTTCTGCGGCTGTTGTATTGGTGAAATTTCAGTGACAGATAACTCAGATGAAATCTGTCTAAATGCAAAGATACCACTAGAAAGAAACAAGACCATTTAAATTAATTTCATTTTTTGTGTGTCTGTTGAATGTATGGTGCCAGAAAACACTCAAATTCTTGACCGAATGTGAGAATAGGTATATTTTTGCACTGATGCAGCTATAGTATCTACAGTAATTTATAGGCTTAGTGTATTAAACTGTGTTTTCATGATTAGGCGTACTATTTGTTGCCTTATTTTTTTGTTACTTCAGTGATAATTATATTCTGTGCAACAAAACTGAAAACTCTCTGAAATTATCCACTTCACATGGCAGAAGAAAATATTGTGATTCTCTCAAAACAATATTTGGACTTTTACTGAAAGTAAATTCTACCAACAGCTTTGTTGGTGCTGAACTCATCCTCAGCACAGTTGGGAACAATTATTACCAGAAAATCAAAAATGATTATGCTCTTGGGCTGTCAGAAAATGGCTACTTAGGTACTTACTGTGGTTACTTACTAATGCTGACTAATACTTTCATTTTCTCATGTGCAGCGAGTTTATTGGAGAAGATGGGAATGAGAAATTCTGGCAGTTTGTTGACACTGTGAAAGAGCTCACTGTGTACAAGCAAGGAGGTATGATGATGGAAACCAAGTCCTTACTTCAATTGTGGAGGAGTGTAGTAACAGAGTTTAAATAATTGCGCACCTCGACCGGTCTGCTTCTCTTTTAAAACACACTCACTATTACAAATGTTGACATGTCTTTCAGAGTCTGTGCGCTCATACTATAACTTGGTCATTAAGAAGGCTGGCCAGTTCCTCACAGATCTTCAAGTTAATCTTCTCAAATTTGCTCTGGCCCTACGGTCCTACTCACCAGCTGTACATGCATCCCAACAGGTATGTTGTAAAAAAGTATGAATTTAAATATTATAGAACCTTCTCAAAAGCAGTTTGGGAATACAAAGGAGCAAAATCCATGTCTTGTTCAGTGTGTTTACATTGTTTGTTTACCCTAATCTTAACCCAGATGTTCTGCAAGTTTTTCTCAATCACTTTGGCCCAGCCTTTAATGACAGTAATTATTCCTAAACGACTGTGTGAAATACTCCACATCAATAACTTGTTTTCACACAACACTACCTGTGTATCTCTGTGGTTTCTCACAGAATTCAAATGTGTAATGATTATTCTCTCTAATTGATTCAGTGTTAGTGTTGTTGCTTTTTTATTACTCTCAGATGCATTTATCAACATGATCACTGCATATCTTTGTATGCAGAATATTCAATTTTCTGTCTAAACATTGTTGCAAAGAAGGGAAAGCAGGGCAGGGTATAAATGCTTCAGAGGCCAAATGATTTTTCCCACAGTGAGTAAATATGAGAAGTTAAAAGCTGTGGTCAGAAAGGAAGTCTTTTAATGAAATGCATGGTTGTGTAGGTTACTGTACATCAATTTATTGTGTTGAGACATTTGTCTTTACTGTTCATTTTATATTACTGTCAAGGGCATACTGTAAGTAGGGGGAATACACGAGGTACAGCTGAGAAACCTATGAAGATTTTTTTTTTTAATGAAACTCCTTTATGTTTATATGACCTGAGTTTTAAATGGATACTTTGCTGCAGACTAAATATGAATTTAGTATTGAGTGGCTTTATCAAATTTCAGTGCACCCTATATCCACAATTCCTCAGCCTTTTGATTGTCTTAGTCTCAACAGTGATAAGGACAAAGTTAATTTTGGTGATAGTGATGTACTGTGATGATGAATTTCTCTCATTTAAAAATGTGTTAAATATTTGAGTGAGTAATGGCCTTTTGTGGGTGAAATGAAGTGTTGCGCCGCGCAGTGTAAATCGGTAGGATGATTGCTGGAGAGTACTGAGAATAAATCAATCTGGTTTCACATTTAACTGATTAACTTTGGCCCGTGTTAAAGAGCGAGGCACTGGTGCTGGACTTTGTAATTGCCATGTTGTATTTTTCTTTTATACATACTGCATCACATTGCTGTGATCACATGCATTTTAATGTGCGTAACCCTTATGGGAACAAAACACCAGATTCTGGCAGTATTTGTGTCATGTTGTAGCCAGTGTTGCACAATGTTTCTCTCCCTCTTGCTCATAACAGATAGCTGGTGATGAGCCTCCGCCTGAGGCTTGCCCTGCCTTTGTCTCCATCCATGGTCAACATAGCTGCAGTACCAAGGACGTCAAGAAGCTCCTGAAGGCAGCTGCAGGCAGGTAACATGAAATGGCGCTGTCTTCCCGTTCAAGGATAAACTGATCTCATAGAGCAGAACAAGTTCAAAAGTTTACATAGTTATTTAGTTATTCAAATTTTATTCTTCGATGCTTTCACTGGCTGTTTTTAGCCTGTGATGAATGAAAAAAAAAATTTCTTATTTCTGAAATCCCTGTCTATTTCCAAATGTCTGCAGGCCAAAACCATATTTATACAAGAATGATCACACATACCCAGGGGTCAATAAAACAGATGTGCCAGTGGTGATCCTCTATGCTGAGATTGGAACCAAGAAGTTTACCTCTTTTCATAAGGTGCTGTCCGAGAAAGCTCAAGAGGGCACACTTGTATATGTACTGCGACATTTTATAGCGGTGAGTAGCAATGTTTTTACAGCCATTTTAAAGTGCTGTTCAACTGATTACACTGATTGACTTCTCAGTTATCCAGTAATCTAACTCATGTACTTGTACTCATATCTTTTGTTTTTCACACAAAAGTGCTCTTATTGTCAACAAATCACATGATGAGATCAAAAGCAACGATAAATTTATCCTACTGACAAGTATTGCCTGTGCAGCCAGAGCCCATTATAATTTCTATATCTGTGCCACAGACTTCCATTGTTTCATCTTTAGTTAGACAATAGCACTATTGCAGTGATACAACAGTGATGCATTTTTCCTTTAGTATAATGCCTAGAAAAGCAAGAATCATCAATGATGATAAAATGATGGACTGAACAGATTGCATTACTCACCAATGTTCAAGAGAAGAATTAACAGAGTCCTCAAAATCTAACCGAACACCCAAATCTATCTACGGTACAGATGCCTTTTGAAGGAGTAAAAAGCTGCTTTTATTTAAGATATGTTGGGAAAAAAAAGCAGTGTGTAGGTGTGAAAGTCCTGATTGTGCCTGTGAAAGACTGGGGCGGCGCTTTGAATGTGGATGACATTAGTGTCAAGGTTGAATGTCAGTGAATCTGTTGCTGTATGTGGCAGCCTGTGTGATTTTTGTTCCCACCGACAGAATGGTTGAAAGCTTATAACTTTCACTATAGACTATAGTATTGAAAAGTCATCTCTGATTAACAGACAAATAATCAAAAAAAGCTACAGAGGACTATCCTACCTCCGCCAAACATTACTGTTGCACTTTGCATTCAGGCAGGTAGGGTTCCCTTGACATCTGCCATGCTCAGATTTGTTCATCAGACTGCCAGAGTCCAATGGTGGTCTGCTTTACACCATTCCAGCCAACGCTTGGCATCGTGCATGATAATCTCAGGCTTGTGTGCTGTAAATATCTCCCGTCCTCCTGACATTGATTCTAGATTTAGTTTGGAACTTGGTGGTTGGTGGTTGCAACTACAGACAAATGATTTTTTGTGTATCAGCACTTGGCCTAGTCAAAAATCTCACTAATTGGTTTATTTGAAAGATGGCTTCCTATAATTGTGCTATGTTGAAAGGCACCAAGCTGAAGCCCATTCTGCTTGAAACGTTTGCCAATAAAAACTGCATTTCTGTGTACCTTGAGTTTAAACACATTAGTGCTGGCTATGGCTGAGGCAGCTGAACCCACTAATTAGGGGGTGTCCTGAATTTTGACTATATAGTGTATATAGGTATAGGCAGAGAGCATCTCCTACAGTTCTCCAGTGTTGATGGTTGTTATAGACAGTAATTGATGACTTGTACATGTAATTAAAACTCCACATTGTTTTACTTTTAAGCCATTACTCTCTTTCTCACTGCTGCAGGATCCAAAACCTCAAAAGATGCTTTTATCTGGCTATGGTGTTGAGTTGGCTATCAAAAGCACAGAATACAAAGCTGTGGATGACACTAAAGTGAAAGGTCAGTTGGTGACTTATCAAACGTGAGCTGGACCTCACTGTGTCTAAGGCAATTACATGCAAAATCTTTTGCTTCATAGATTCAAAGACAGTAATAAATACAGAGGACGAAGATAACGATGAAGTCCAAGGATTCTTTTTTGGAACATTAAAGTAAGTAGCTTAACTATAACATGACTTTTTAAAACCTTTAGCATCTGTTATTGCTGCTGCCCATCCTGTGCTTTGTGAGAGGCTTGCTTGATTAAGAGATGAATAAAGATCCTTGCCGTTTTACCTCTTCTAAGGAAATCTCATCCTGACCTAGAGGAGCAACTTGTTGAGCTTCGCAAACATCTTCTGGAGAGCACTAATGACATGGCTCCTCTCAAAGTGTGGGAAATGCAAGGTATCAATCATCTATTTCATTTGTTCAGTGATTTATAAGAAAAAAAAGTTCATTAATATAGCTGAAAAATGTAATGTATATTAATACATTAGTGGCAGGAGATGCTTTTATTTTGTACTGTTGACTTTGACTAATAATTGTAACACCGCCAGTGTGTCCAATCTCCTATGATTACCTGGCATGGTTTTATTTTGTCTAAACATAATGTGCATTTGTGTGTGTGTGTATGTATATATGTGTATTTATATGTATGTATGTGAATGTTGATGATTTCATCATTTGATGTTCACAGATCTAAGTTTCCAAGCAGCTGCCAGAATCGTGGCCGTGCCCAAGTTTGATGCTTTGAAGCTTATGCGAGACATCAGTCAGAACTTTCCAAGCAAAGCCAGGTAAGAAAATTCATCTAATTTTCTCTCTGGCTGAGTGGCTAACACATTTGGTACCATTCCAAATTCCAGCTTTTCTTGTGGAGCTCTACTCTGTGTTATAATGTGTGAATTCATGCACAACAAATCCTGTTGTTTAATTGCACCCGAAATATGCTTTTTATAAAACCCATGTGTTTGAGCATTATTACTTTTCCCTATGACACCTCCACAATAAATACATCTGTTGTACAGAGATCTAATCAGGTTTTTGGATGTTTGCTTATTTTGGCTCAGGCAGCTTGTAATAACACCAAGAAGTGCTGAGTAAGAGTCGGGTGTTTACAGGGAATTGACTGCAAACGTACCATCTTGAGGCCCACAGGTTTTTGGAGATTAAAACTGGCATTTTACAGCCGGCTGGGGATATAGTAAAAGCTGATGGTGACTGTACATGTTTTACTGTTCCCACAGATCACTGACAAGAGTGGCTGTAAAGCAGGAAATGAGAAAAGAAATTGAGGAGAACCAAAAGGTGCGATATCATAAGCAGCTTTCCCACATGATAGTGCAGGAGGTTTTCTTTGATAACATTCTTAGCCATTGCACAGGTTTTATTTTAGAGAATGAGTTTCTAATCTGTATCTGAAATAAATTCCATCAAATACAACATTTTATTCTTGCTTCTCTCTTATTTTCTGTGCACGCTTTATCTTTTCTGCTTACAGCTGTAGTCCCTGTGCACATTTTGTCTTCTTGAAAGATCAGACATTACAGGTAGAATCACTCTTTTAGGGGTTTAGGCATTCCACTAACACTTTGAGCTTATTCTTTCAGCATCTCAGTGAGACCATTGGTGTTCACCCAGGAGACGGGGAGCTCTTCATCAATGGGCTACACATTGATCTGGACACTCACAACCCTTTCAGGTAGGAGCTCAGCAGGAGGGACCGGTGGTCTGCCTGTGCTTTCCCCAGAAAGCCTCACACCTATGCACTAGCTCAGTAATCCTGTTGCAACAAGATCAGAGTTGGCTGCATTTCAAAGCCACTGCCACACAGCTAATATGTATGGAGAAAATAACCTGTGATTTTGCATTTGCAGCATTTTGGACACCCTCAGAGGAGAGGCCAGGGTCTTGGAGGGGCTTCATAACCTAGGCATAAAAGGAGAACATCAGGGCAAGCTGTTGAGATTACCTGTGAATGCAGTGGATGACAGCTATGCCTTAGATATCAGACATCCAGCTATAATGGTGAGTCGTGTTCAGAAGAATTATTCATCTGGCCCAGATCAATACTGCAGGTGTTTTTTCTTCTTTGTGTACTTGCACCAGGGTTTGAATTAGTGGCTCAGTCATCAGGCTATTGCAACAGTCTCGAGCCTGCCAGAAACCTCAGTTATTAACTTGGAAGTTAGCCAAGAAAAGGTATCAAATTAAAAACTTGCAAGTTCTTATTTTTGCTCCTCTGGCCATTTTAATATTCTAGGTTCTATAAAAATGCCAAAGAAATGAAGATATTAAGCCTGTCCATGTTCAACCAAAAATGTAATTTCATCTTACATCTCTCCTTCTAGAGACTATGTTTAATATATAGGTAAGTATGAGTGTCTGAGAGAGAGAGACAGAGACATAAGCAAGGAAGAGAAGACACTGTGTAAGGGGGATAATGACAGTGAGGCAAATGTTTACAGCATGGGGAGGCTTGTGAGTCAGAAAGACCACTGTTCTATTCCTAAGAGCCTTCTCTGATGGTGAATAGCAGAGCTGCAGTCATGCCCATAAATTCAAAGAATCCAGCATTGGATACTCAACTTTTGTGAAGTTTTGAAAGTGAAAGTTTGGAATTTGGGATACATGGAAGGGCGTTGTTCTGAAGGAAGTTATAGAGACAGAATTGGAAACAAAAAAAATCAAAAGCAAAAAAGGAAGGTATTGTAGGTATTGTACTAACCCATTCGAGTAAGCCAAGTATTGTAACAGGGTGCAGCAAGTTCTGTCATTTACATTTATATACAGGAAAACTATATGATAAATAAACCTCTAAAAAAAACCTTGTCCTTTAGAGAGGCACTGAATCTTTCCCTATTCCAGGGTTGCTTTTCTGTTACTGACACTTAACTCATGAATATAATTTCTTTTTGTTCTTTACTTTCCAGTGGTTAAATGAGATAGAGAATGACCCGATGTACCGCAGCTGGCCAACAGGTGTACAGGAGCTCCTCAGAGCCACCTTTCCTGGAGTCATCCGGCAGATCCGACGGAATTTTTTCAACCTGGTTAGTTGATGGAGGGGACTGAAATTGAGGAAAGTCATCATTGTGTTGTTACGTTGACTCACCTGAACACTGTGAAGGTCTTTGTATGTATCCTATTCTTCTGCAAGACTCAATTAAATACTCTTTTGTCAAATTGTGGCTTGTTTACCATCATAACATTTCAGTTAGCACAGACAGACACAGTGGCACAGAAGAGCATACAAAGATACACATTACCTTTTGATTATTAAAACAGACTAAGACGAGGTGTATTGTTCTGATGATGCCTTTGTTGTTAGGTGCTGTTCCTAGATCCAGTACAAGAAGAAAGTGTTGAGCTGGTGAAACTCGCAGAGCTTTTCTATAAGCATAAAATTCCCCTGAGGTAGGTGCTGTTATTTCTGACACCTCCACAGATGTTTATGTGGTCTACTCTTGGCATTTACAATCTCTACCAGGTAGTGATTCTCATTTCACCTGCAAATTAAATACTTGTTTTTGCACCGTTTTTTTTTTTTTAGAATTGGATTTGTGTTTGTTGTCAACACCAAGGATGAGATTGATGGCTTCTCCGACGCAGGGGTTGGATTTTACCGACTACTGAATTACATTGCAGATGAGTACGATTTATCCCAGGCTCTGATGTCCATGGTCTCAGTAAGTATATCATGTATATAAATCTCTGTTGTTTTAGCAGGCACTTATTGAAGAATAACTAAAGCTGTTTTCTCATATGAACTCCTGACAATGTCTGGACCTGATTCCCCAGACATTGTCCTTTCACACATGTAGCACACAACAGGTGATTGTCTGTGTCAGATGTTCCCTACTACCTACTTACCTTCTGGAAATGCTCCATTTGTTTTCATCCGGGTTTGCACCAGTTCCATGATAGAAACATCATCGACACCCAGTCGCTTGCCATGAATTTTCCTACAATGACCTGCTCTATTCACACAAATCGGACATTGCATGGGATTTGTACGAGGGGGCTGGCAGGGTAAAGTCTGTTTTATGTCTGGTCCAACTATTTTGGACATTTGCATTCTCACATACAACTCCTCTGGGTAATTTCTAGATAAGTTCAGGGATGCAGAGCATGTGTGAAAGCATTATAAAGCGCGCTCCTTGCTAGCTCATATTTCTTTGTGCCCTGGAATCAGTTGTTTTATTGTGCTCCATCTTATTCCATGGTTTTAGACATTATTGGACTAGATGAGTCAGTGAGATGTTGCTTCTGATATCAGCTCTTCAAACAGAGCTGGAAATTGTTGACTGTGGTAGGGATCTGAAGACAGGGATGGTCAAATCTGATTTGACTTGCCACTCTCTTGCAGATGTACAACAAAGTAGATGTAGGCGAGACGCTATCTGTTGATACACTCTCTGCTTACCTGAAGAGAAAATTCCCTAAAGCCAATGCTGAGAGGATTTTCGGTGCAGAATCTGAGTATGATGACAAAAGAAAGGTAAGAAAATTAAATGGTTTTCACTATTGTCTTTGTGTTCATTGGAAATAAGGATTTTTACTTAAAAATTGGTGAAATAGGACCGACAGACCAGGATTGTCTATGTTTTCTTTGCTCCAGGATGGTGCCCTCTTCTACAAAAAGACTGGCCTGGGTGCTCTACCTCTGGCATTATTCAATGGAGTCCCTCTAAGCCCAGATGAGATGGACCCAGAAGAGCTGGAGACCATCATCCTGCAGCGCATAATGGACACCACCACTGCCTTCCAGAGAGCTGTCTTTATGGTATGGACTGTATGGAAAGAGACGCACTTTTCATATTTAACCTACCGAAGTTTATTTTACTATGAAATAAGGCATTAAGATTAATACACGTGTGTCAGTGGAAGTAAACACACACTAAAGAACTGTACCAATGGAAGTTTGTTCGTGCTTATAGTATGCATAAAAGTAATATGTCACATTCTAGCCTGGGGTTACTGTTTGCTAGACAGTGGTTAACAGTGATTCTCTCTGAGTAAAGTAAAGAAACATATCTGTGATATAATACATGGCTCTTTACTGTGAAGTATTAGATTTAGATTTGGATGAAATTTTAATGATCTCTGCGTGAAAACTAGTTTATTGCAGTAGAGTATAGAATATATACCGAGCTATTTTTTGTTTGTTTGTTTAATGTGATGTGGTAAATAATTAAAAGCATATTAAGTAACTGATTAATAACCTACTTGCTTTTTGCTAGATTTGCTAGATAGCAGGACATGCAGTTTGCAGTTAAATATTCCTCCCCTCCTTCCCAGCTCTCCACATCATTGTATTTGTTGACACATTTACACTTCACTGCATGTTAACCGGGCATACTCAAGATCCAGTAGATCTTTATGGATTGATGTTCTAAATGACATAACTGTCATCCGTTTGGTTCTCTGGTTACAGGGTCAATTAACTGAGGGTTCAGATGTGGTGGACTATCTAATGGAGCAGGCCAATGTGGTTCCCAGGATGAACCCCCTTATTCTAAGTACTGACCGAAAGTACCTCGACTTCACTGCCGCACCAGGTGACCTGTACTCCTCATCTTACACCATCCACTATTGATTCATCATCTAAATTCCCCAAGGTTTTACTTTTTCTATCTTGCTTTGCAGTTGTATATGATTGGGAGGACACAACTATGTTTTCATTCTTGGACATCAGAGACAAGACAGCTGTAATGGCCAAGAGAATGAAGTACTTTACAAATAATGGTAAGACATTACTTGTAATTTCATGCCTTGCTTTCCCAATAAACACGATTTCAGATGAATGCACACTATGTCATTTTCAGTAGCACAGTGACTTGTGACTGTATAAATAACTAAATCAAGCATTTGCATCTTGTCCTCTAAACTGGAACAGCTATTGTACATTTGTTTGCTGAAAATGTGTTAAACAAGCAGTATCTAAACAAAAATGAATCCTACACTGCTTTACTGATCTATGAAAGTGTGAAAGCAACCTTTGTGAAGGCAGACAGACTGCGCCTCCAGCAAGATAATTGCTGGGTCTGCTTACTGGCTCTCAGCCAGCAGTCTAAATGGTCATCAGCGCTGCATTTCACAACTCAGGCCCAGAGTGGAGGTGTCTCAGTGAGGCTGAGGAGGCTGATTGCCATCCCACCTCTATGGACTGGCTGACTGGCTGACTGCCTGCTTTTCTGACTGACTGATTGACTGGGGGGGATATAAGTATGACAAGCAGCACAATTCTCCTCTAATGTACTCAGCTTTCTGCCAGATGTCTCATTTGCTCTCACCTCTCACACACGAACTGAATGTTCACTGTAACGGCTGTGCCTCATTTTCCTTCTCACTTTCATCTGATTGTCAGTGTGTAACCAGGGTGAAAACTTTTTAAGGGATAACGAGCTTTCTTTAAAAGCCACATAAGCATTAAGGTTGACATTAACAAAAATACAAAAAATAAATTTGCCCTCCAATGTTTCTTTGATTATACCCTCAGTGACCGCCTTGTTCAGTACACCTGTACTCCAGCTTCTTAATGCAAATTTCTAATCAGCCAATCATGTGGCAGTAACTCAGTGCATGAAAGCATGCAGACATGGCCAAAAACCTCAGGTGTTGTTCAGACTAAACTTCAGAAATGGAAGGAAATGTGATCTAAGTGACTTTGCTGGTAGAATGATTAGCTAGTGCCAGATAGGGTGGTTCAGTGAGGAGCATTTGTGTATGTGAAAATGCCTTTTGAATGGGAGAGGTCAGAGGAGAATTGTTCTTGTTTAGGTGACTGGGAGGTGAGAATAACTCTTAAGAACAGAGCTAGTGCAGAAGAGCATCTCTGAATGTGCAACATGTCAAACGTTGAAGTGGGTGGGCTACATCAACACACCATGTGTCCTGCCAAGAACTTGAAACCTCTCTGTGTGTGTCATTTTGGGTGCTCATGAGAGTGTGCTGCGTGCGTATGCCAGGACTGGGCTTACTGGCCAATCACAAAATGTAATCGACACAATGTGAAGCAATGGAGCTGTATTTATTGTGCAGGGAATATATTTTTGGCACACATTTGGCCCCTTAATACTAACTGAGCATTGCTTAAATACCACAGCCCACCTGTGTATTGCTGCAGATCATGTGCATCCCTCTGTGAACACAGTCTGCCCATTTTCTGATGCCTACTTCCAGCAGGATAGGGAGCCATATGCAATTTTAGTTACTCCATATATCTTTATTTGGAGGGGCGTTAGAATTTTTTATTTATTAATTTATTTTTTGGTGGCAGTTAAGAGTTTGCAATTAGCCTGATATGCATGGAAAGGAGAAGGTGGTGAGGGAGATAGGGGGAATGGAGGGAGGAGGGGGGTAAGAGGTTAGCGGTTAAGGGAGGGAAAAGGGGTGAAAGATTGTGAGACCTGAAACGTCTGCATTTTCAGACAGAGCTCCTCCAGTTGTTTCTTCTTCTCTTTCATTTTTTTCTTCTCCTTCTGCAGTACTTTCTTCTCCCCCTCCATCAGTTTTACTTTTGTCTCTTAGTGCTCTTGTATGGTTTTGTAATTTTTGGAGTTGCAGGATTTCATTCTTCCTTTGGTGGAGTTGCTCTTTCACCACATTCACTTTGTGCTGGTTCTTGTGCTCTGTGACCTTGCTCTGCCCCCCAATTGGATTGGAGATGTTGCTTTAGATAGGAGACTTCCAATGCATTCATTGCAATGGTCTTGTAACACTTTGTGTATTCATCCTTGAGCTGCTGCTCCCTGATCTTTAGTGGCTCATCCAGCCAGCTTACCCTGTGGAAAAATGTCACCCTCTCAGCCTGTATTCTTTCAGTATGCTGTGCTATGCAATCTACCTTTTTAGGCACTTGTTTTCAGGGTTGATCATTATGAAAAGCTTTTTGCAGATAGAGCTCCATCATTGGCATATGTTTGAACTTTCCGTCTGTCATGAGGGGCATCATCTCTAAATCTTTGTCGTGGGTTGTTTCTTCTGGCCATGGCATTGAGAAACAAAGGCACTGCGGAGAAGTGTTGGTACTACAATGCCATAGACTTAAGTTTCGTGTAGAGGTTTATAGTTGTCTGTAGTAGATTGTAGTTATATGTAGGAGATGGTGTCTGTAGTAGGTTGTACTTGTACACAGTACTTGTGTGTAGGAGGTGCAGAGCTACTCTGTTGATAACACCCACAAAGAAGCACACTGACAGTTCCAGTTTCCCCTAGTTCCAATAATAAAAGTCCCAAGTTTTGAAAATTTATTTTATATTCTATTCTGCCTCAATTTTGGATGAATTCAGCAACTGTAGTGACATGTTCGTGAATTCAGTGATGAAGCATTTTGAATTCAGTACAGGTCTGATTCACATCTCTCATTGCTTTGGCTAAGGCTCATGGGTATTTTGGCCCTTCTGACTAACTGATGAACAAAACATGATTTCTCAGAAATGAAGCTGAAATAATTCAAACTGGTGGTCAGAACATAAACTGATATGATGGTTACACTATCCACTACTGTGTTTCTGCATTCAGTAACACTGAGGATATCTTCTAGAAATACACAAAAGGAAAAACACTTTGTTAGCAACACAAATGTTTATGTTCTTTAAATACTTTTAGATAAACAGTGTGAGTATTTGCTCAGAGCCCCGTCAACACTGTCAAATTAATGCATCCTCTTCATTTCTTTTCTTTATGTTAACTTGCCTAAGTGATAACAAACAGTATCGCCAACAGAAATGTCTTTTTTAGTTGTCAAATTGTTCTCCTGTTTGGACATTTTCATTCATGCATATTGCAGTGATATTATATATTAATTTTTAACAAACATAAATTTATAATGGAATTCTATGGGATGAAAGATGCGACTGCAGAAATTTTGAAAGCCTGCTAAACTTTGAAAACTAACTACTGACATTCCCACAGTCCTACAGAGTTTGAAAATTCAAAGTCTTGTGAGCATTTTCGAGATTAAACAAAGTTGTAACCTGTGTTGTGATCAGTGTTGCAGTTTTGGAGCAATGTAAATCTAAAGTGACAGCTTTACAGCCGTTTTGAGACTTCATCAGTGTGTCAACTAGAGGTAGGAGCAGTAACCAGAAAAAATATTCTAAACTGCTCTCAGGGCTGCAGTTTTAACTGTACAAGCACATGTAATACCTTAAACTGTTGTCACAAGCCTCCTTTGTCTCAAAATGTAAACGCATAACCCAAAGGAGGTACAGTTCTTGAGATCTATGCCTTAATTGATAGGTATAGCACTGTCAAGCTCTCATTCACTGCTATAGAAACTGCAGGTTGACTCCTTCCTCATCGTCCTCTTTCTTCAACGTACAGATTCTTCCTTTATCTTAAGAAAGCGTAAGCATGGACTACGTTTTCATGCTCAGCTACTGTTGCTGCAACTGTAAAAATCTTGGCCCCAAAGCTTTACTTTTGAGACAGTTATTTCTTCCTCAAGAAAATGTGAAAATGTGCTATAAATAAGCGTAATGCCAGCGGTTGGTAGTGTTGGCATAAAGATGAGTTCGAGGAGTTTGTTGCGTTAGAGTCAACTGGTTTTGAGTTCAATTCCACTGCGTGAATAAGCAAATCAATGAAAAAGTTACATCCGTGGCAAGGGCAATTTTGTTGTCAGAGCGATATTCTGTCAAGTGGAGTTTGCTGTTTGGAAAAAACTTGCAGCTTTCTGGCTCACACCGACAGATGTATGGTGTTTGCCCTTAGAATATTGCCAAGTTTGAGTTTCATTGTCTAGTTCCTATTCGCTACTCTTATTAGTGAGGATTGAACCTTTTCACATTTGAACATGGTTTTCAACTTTATATCATTCCAAACCAAAGCTTTTGTTAATAGACAATTACTTATTGTCTGTTGGGCTGGGCTCAACAGTGCAAGCCTTTCACTCACATTTGCGACTAAAGATAGATGTTTGCCAACTGTAAAATGTATTAAGGAATGTGTGTGAAAAAGTGTTGCAGAATTCAGCCCAAGCAGGCTCCATGTGTTTTTCCTTTTTTTTTTTTTCAACAAAAAGGTTGATAACTCAACAACAGTGACGATGACACTCCGCTGAACCAATGTTGTCTGTTGAAAAATTCAGGTGATCCGCCCGTCATCACAAAGGGCCCTTTAGTCTGTGGACCACTGGCTGAGCTCAAAGCAGGCCAGATGACCTGTTTACAAACCTGCTGGACCAAATATTGAATAATTATGATAATTAATAATTAAAATCTCTAAATAAATGCAGTTTGAAGCATTAAAAAAAAACTAGTTTACTTTTTGTATTCAAATATATAATTATTTTGCTTGTAAATATCTCCTTGTATCCCTTTTATTCAGGAAAAACACATCATTTGATACATTTTCATTGTACCCCTAAAGTTCTTAACTTAATACGCTCCTAAATTTTTCAACTTAGCACACACAGTAAGCATCAAGCACCTGATTATCATGCTGGTTCCACCAGCATAACAATGAGTTCAGTGTATGTCAGTAGTTTCCAGTCACCGGATCTCAATTCGATAGAAGATCTTTGGGATGTGGTAGAATGGGAAATTCGCAGCATGAATGTGCAGCTGACAAATCTGCAGCACCTGCGTGATATTGTCAGCAACGTTTTTTACCAGTCGCTAATTAGTTTGTATTATAACAGGATGCTTAAATTGAATGCAATGTGATATGTATGTGTTTTGTGTACTATTGAATTTTTGCTCTTTTATCTTAGATGAGGATGGGATGAGTACTGTGACCATATGGATAGCTGGAGATTTAGAGAAGCTTTCAGGAAGAAAGCTGCTGCTCAATGCTCTGAAACATGTGGTGAGTATCAGCACCTCCCCATTCTGTCTTCTCATGACTTAGTTTGTGTAGTCTTGACAATATATCACAAGCCTTAAATTCTAGGAAGGAATGAATGCTGACTCAATCAATGACATTTTTCACATTGGCCTGTCTTTGACACAAATCTTACACTTGGTGTCCCTACAGCTACAAAACTTGTCTGCTGTAAATCCATGCCGCACACACAGGCAGAAGAGATGAATAACATTAAGATGGTTTAGATACTGATTATGAATTCAGGTTCCTCTTTTTATTACCAAAAACGAAAAAATTTATTCTGAAAATTTATTTTGTGCTCTGTGCTCTCACAGAAATCATCAGTAAAGATATCTCGAAAAACTAAATACTGCTTTTGATACACTACAGATGAATTGGGTGTAATAGAGCAAGCAAGCATTTTTGGTAGTGATAAGTAGTATAGGACAAACCTTTAGTGTTACTTTTAAGCACTCAACATTCTCTCCTCCCAGTGCTCTTTCTCAGTGACACCTGCAGTTTTTGGAAATATGAGAATGTGTGATATTTGTGTGAATTATATCACTGCTGTTTGTGCGTGTGTGTCTGTGTGAAAGCAGAAGGCCAGCCCTGGAGTGCGAGTGGGGGTGATAAATAACCCCAGTGGAAAGCCCAGTGAAGATAACACTGTGCTGTACAGGGCTATCTGGGCGTCTTTCCTCACCCAGAAGAATAAGGCTACAGCAGAGTTTGTGCAAAAACTCCTGAAAGAGGAAAGCAGCCAGCTCCTCCAGCAGGGGACCAAGATTAAGGATTTACTGATGCAGGTAAAGGAAGGATTAAGAAATGCTGTTCTGTTTTCTGTCACTTTAGAGATGATCAGATTCCAAGCATTTCATTTGCATTTAATTTATATGACAGGCAAATGGGACCCTTTTTAGAACTGTACTTTTGCAATCACCCGAAAGTACGAGTTTTGGGTACAGCTTGGCTATATATTGATTTACTGATGGTATTTTGATATGAGACTAAATGTTGCCTTGGTTTGTCATTATCTTCACAAATTTGCCTCTCCGAAAGGCTGCTGTACAGTTACAATTACATCTTTTTTCTTTACCAACCGAAATGTGTACATAGCAGAGTATTAAAAATAGTTCTGACTAAAGGGTCACAAACCGAAAGCTGTCATCTACGGTCGGATTCAAAATCTTGTTTTCTTGTGATTTGATCAGATAGTTGACTAGATTTAAATAAATGTCATTTAAATTTAGACTTCATTTAAGCAAAGTTCTTGTGAAGCTGCTTGTTTGGACTACATTTAACATTTGCAAACCTTGACTTCTTTTAACAAAATGAAGAAAAAGATTTATTATTTATGTTTTATTTATATTTCTCAAACTGAAGTATCTTGGTATCAGTAATGAAAGTCAAGACTCAACACCTTGATTATTCAGAATGAAACAATTACTCATCGGTCACATCAACAATATTATTATTAATATCCTTTATTGCAGTTTCCTTGTGTTTGATTATATTCTTAAGGCACAAATTGTCATCTGTATAATATTATTACATGATATACATTACAGATACACATATGCACTGAATAATTAGCATAGTGTAATGAATGATGTTGTCGAATATGTTGAATTATGTCAGTTATGTTATGTTATTTTAATTTGTTAGAACTAATTAGTGAGTAGTTTAACATCCACATGATACTGGATTTCTAGCACTTTCCTCCTGACGGACGGAAAGGAACAGTTTACATGAATATCATTACAAGTAGAATATATGCAAATTTGATATCTCCTATCTGCAAAATTGCCGAAGTTTATCAGCACTAGCTGTTAACATAGAAATCTTCTGATGCCGTCAGTCGACACTTATTAGAAAAAATTAAAAGTATTATCTGCTGTGTTAAAAACATGAATGCATTTTAGCTGAGGTGGGGAAATCCTATTTCTTGTTTTCTGACATGGGAATTTGTCCTACGATCCATGGCCAAAAAAAGTGAACTAGGACGCATAGGAACAATGCATGAGAATTGTTTGTGCGTCACAAAATGCATCAACAACTGAGATGCCATCACGCCATGTAAAATATTTTGTCAATTTTATATTGTTATTGATGTATAAGGTTTTATGGTTAGTTTTCTGAAATTCAGTTGATAAACCATTTAGACATAAAATAGCCAAATGGAAATGTATGTTTTGGGCTCCAGCTTTTTATGACATACCTGAAAAATCAAGGCATTTCATCCCTCTGATGCAAAATTCTATAAATCTGATACTGCCATTAAACATTTTGGCTCATTGATTTGTAATACTGCATGCAGTTGACTAATGTAACCAGAAATGTTAAAGGGATAGTCGCCTAAGTATAATATTGTAGCAAAATCTTCCAGGGCTGATAGATTTATATCATAGGGATTATCTGAGCCAAACTTTAGTTTCCCATGGTTTGTAGTGCACCCATGAGGCCAGAAATCTGAGAGTAATCTTTGATTCAGACCTGAATTTTAATATACATCTTAGCAATATCTCTAAATCTGCCATTGGTATTGTCAAGATCAGATCTTTTTTTTTTTCATTCAGTGACACACAAACTGGCATCCACGCTTTTGTTTCCTCATCTTGATTAATGTAATCCCTCATTTGCTTGGCTACCCCAGAAATCCATCAACATCCTCCAGCTTCTCCAAAATACTACAGCAAGGGTACTCAAAGGAACTCCAAAATATGACCACATTTCTCAGATTTTTGCCTTACTGCACTGGCTACCAGTGGCATTCAGAACTGCTTTTAAAATTTAATTGCTTGTTTTTAAATCACTGAGCAGCCTGGTCCCATCTTACATTATTGACTCTCTCAGCCCCTCTACCCCTGCTGCTCTCTGAGACCTGCAGATCAGCTGTTACTCTCAGTTTTTATTTCATTGTCTTTTATCTCTGTTCTCTATTTCATGATTGCAATACTGTGTTTTTTAATGTCTGTGAAGCACTTTGTAAACTTGTTTTTTGAAAAGTACCACACAAGTGAAGTCTATTATTGTTATATAGTAGGGATGCCCCGATTGATTGGCCACAGATCACTATCGATTTTCATAAAAAAATATGTGATCGGTTGATCGGAATTAATGCTTCTAGTCACCGATCACCTTAAAACTGTCTGCGGCTGAGAGAAACATTGTGTGCTGTGTAGTGTTGTCCCGCCTCCTACCTTGTTCATTGCGCCAGCGTGCAACAGGCCACCAAAACAAAACAACATGTCAGCCGTGAGGAACTTTTACAAAGTGTGTAAGACTGATATAGCCTACACCATCTGCAATGCATGCCAAAAATGATCAGTATCGGCCATGGATCGGTCGATCTCACTCATAGATCGGTATCGATGGAAAAAAAAAAAAACATGATCGAGGTATCCCTATTATATAGTGTCATATATTCCCAACCCTGAAAGATATACAGGACTACATTGGGAGAGTTACTGTGTTAAAAATAAGTTAATTCTTCAGTAAAAGGTGTATATTTGTGAAATTGGAGGAATGTTACTTTATGTTGATATAAGTGATAATTTAATGACCATAATGGTATAAACTAGGAAAAACAAAGGTTGGATATAACGACTTTCAGAGACTTGTCTGCCTGTGCTTTTTTGATTTAAGTGCACAGTGGTGAAAAAATGGTGATTGATGAGCCCATCTTCTCATTCCTCACTTGAACATCAGCTAACAGAATACATTTAGAGCATGCATGATGCTCCACAGTCTGTGGATACCAAGGCAAGCAGCCTACTCACTGTCACTTCCACTTGATCTGTCACAGGGGCCAACACAAGGCAGGCTCCACACTCCAAATCTTTAAGTAAAAAGCGCTGGGGGCCTCTAGGACCTGATGAATAGGCGAGCTCCTGCTCACCATTCATGGTTGTGAGAGCCACATGTGTTCAGCCAAGCCTAACCATCACTCTGCTGCTGTAGGCAGTCTACAACTGCTAGTGTTCTCTTTCCTGTAGCATGCAGTATCCACCCACGCAACATTGCACATAAGAAAGCAAATTCTAATGCACTAATCAACAAATCAGCTGACAAGAGAGCTCCAATCACTCCCATCAGGATAAGTCATATAGCACAGGCTACATGTGGGACCAACCATGACAAACTGCCCTGCAGTTATACCAGCCTTAAACCATGATGAGACAATGGACTGGAAATAGCAATGGAAAGATAGGTAGGAGGTGGCTGTGTGAGTTGAGACTCAGGGTCTAGGGATGTGAGTTTATTATTGGCTGCCAGACAGACTTGCTGACTGGATTGTGCTGACATTATTGGTATTTCACCTGTTCTCCTGAGGAGGGAAATGTTAGAGAAACTAATAACCTGACTCCACAAACCCTCCACACACTCACACCTAATTTGTTATAGACAAAAATGGCAGAGGCTTAATTAAGAGTTTGTTATATTAATTACAAATTGATTAATCTCATTTTCACACATGTGCATTTCTGACAGCTCTCTCCTCTGGCTGAAATATTTTATGTTTGAAAACTGCAGTGATTGCACTGATGTAAGGCATCAATAATATTGTGAATAATTTCTTTTTTGCCTCATACATCATTTCTTATGCCGATGCATCGCTCAGATTTTGTTTTGGACAGACTTTAAAGGGAGAAAGGTCCTTGAGCTAGCCTATTGGATTCGTTCAGTACATCACAAATTCTTCAGAAATGTGTGGGTTAACAACACAGTCAATTTATCTAACACCCTAAACAAACTTTTGTTATTCTGCTCTAGGGCATGGATGTTGATGCCTTTGAGAAAAAGTTCAACACACTGGAAGTGGATTTTATCCGCAGTCAGCAGCTGTTCTGTCGAGATGTCCTGAAACTGAGTCCTGGAGAGCGGGCAGTGATCAGCAATGGCAGAGTGAGTGGACTTCAACTCCAACACAGTTCACTCAACCTCTTCACTGATGGTTACTGATTCACAGATTTCTGCATAAAAAGTGGAATACACTGCCTTATATTGTCAGTGAGGAAAAGCATTGGTTAAAAGTTGTTGGTATTGTTTTCTACAGTGCAGTAGGATCCTCTAAGCTGCTGCACTTTGGGTTCTTCCCCTCTAGTGTTTTCAGAGGGCTTCCTTAGTACTGTCAAATCAGCATGATGTCTGTTTCTTAAAGGTCACAGGTGGCACAAACGGCACAGTGCATGTGTGTTTGTGTGAGTGTCTGTGTATCTGCTGACTGTATGTGTGCACAGAGCTGATGACTGATGTCTCAGCAGCAGCGATGCTGACAGTTACGGATGAAGAGGCCAGCCTCTGAGATGGCAGTAACAATTAATATCATTTTACATTCCTCTACTGCAGTGGCAGGGCTCTACTCCCAAAATAGAAAGGAGGAAAACACATCACTGAATACCATGACTTTAAGTGGATAAAACACGGTGTTACAATCACATTAAATTTAACACCCCCCTGGCAAGTAGTAAATAATACATGCTGAGATATGAATTGGAAAAGTCGTGTTCTGACTGCATTATTTTCTCCATGTTAGATCCTTGGTCCGTTTGAGGAGCAGGAAGAATTCACTGTGGAGGATTTCCATTTGCTGGAGAAGATTACACTGAGTGGTTCTGCAGAGAAAGTCAAAGCCAGAGTTAAACAGATGGGGATGAAGCCAAAGCAGTATGTTTGTGTTTGTTTTGAGCCTTTTTATTTTTACACAAAATGTTCTTCCCATTCCCTTTATCTGTCTCTAATGGACATTTTTACATCCTTTTAACCCCTTTAGAATTTTAGCAAATTTAATAAAAATCAAAAACTGAAATCTCTTATTTACAAAATATACAGACCCTTTGCTGTGGCACTTCAAAGTGTTGTCTGTGCATTCTGTTTCCTTTCATTTTCCTTGAGAGCCTTCCTCTCAGTGGCAAGGACAGGCAGTCTGGTCAGAATTAAGGGAAGGATGCAAGCAGCTAAATACAGAGAGCTCCTCAAAAGAAAACCTGCTCCAGAGTGCAAGTGATCTGAGACTGTTGCGACGGCTCACCTTTCAGCACAACAATGACTGAAGCACGCAGCCACGACAATGTTGGAGTGGCTTAGGTACAAGTCTCTGACTGTCCTTGCGGGGCCCCAGCCAAAGCCCAGACTTAAACACCGTAGAACATCAATGTAGCAGTTCACAGATGCTTCCCATCCAGTCTGACAGAGCGTGAGAGAATCCGCCAGGAAGAATGGGATAAACTGCACAAATCCAGGTGTGATAAGCTTGTAGAGACTTACCCAACAAGAGTCAAAGCTGTAATTGTTGCCAAAGGGGCCCCTACAAAGTAGTGAATTAAGGGTCTGAAAACCTCTATAAATGAGACATTCCAGTTCTTGATTTTTAAAACAGTTTTTAAATCATGTTTTCACTTTGTCAAAATGGATTATTGAGAGTATAGGTTGATAGGCAAAAATGGTAATTTTAAGGTGTGGAAAAAGTTAAGCCGTCTGAGTACTTTCTGAAGCCACTGTATGCTATGAAACTAAATTCTGCAGGGATGACAGTATCATTTTCTCAGTTTGATGATGGCCTTGACTGATTTATGAGGATACCTTGTTAACAACTGGAGATCACATTGTGTGAGCTCTGTTTGACATCTCCCCTAACATGTATCATTAATAAATGATGGACTGACCCTGCTACACCTCTTTTCCCTCAGCGCCAGTGACTTAGTCATGAAAGTTGATGCCCTCTTAACTGCAGCTCCCAAAGGAGAGGTCAGGAGAGATGTCCACTTTATCAAAGACAGCCACAGGTGGGCAAGTTTTTTTTTTTTTTTTTTTTTTTTTTACTCCTGTTACTGCTGTCCTCTTGGCTCTGCAGTCTCACTCTGCTTTTGTTATAATGGATCTGAAAATTGCTACACCATCATTTCAAGCAGCGCAGAAAGGCGAATCTTCTGATTTGCAGTCCTGCTGAATAAGTGTTGTATAACCTTGTGTTGCTGAATTTGCTTTGGTGTGCTGTTCTCCTCCTCAGTATGCTCCATCTCTCCCCGCGTGAAAACGAGGTGTTCTATGATGTGGTGGCCATCGTTGACCCCCTCACTAGAGAGGCACAGAAGATGTCCTCTCTGCTGATTGTGAGCTATATTCTTCCCTTTTCTCCATTGATTCTTAATACACCAAGAACACCCTAAAATCATTTGCATAGAAATGGAGGGTACAGAAATGCAAAGCACACTTTTTCCCATTCTTATATGGTTAAATGTTTCATGGTTGTATTCTTTTATGCGCTTTATTGATTCTGAAAGATACTGTACCTTTGTTGATAGCCTGACCATTCTTTGTGTGCTAAAACAAGTATGCTTAGTTTTTGTTTGACCAGATAGGGTTATTTCAAACATTTTCCTCAGTGGGCTTAGTTTCACTGAATCCCACTAGCCGTCTGCAGCATCTTGCTGGAGGCTTTCTGTGGTGAAGAATTTGACTTGGGTGAATATGAAAATATGACTCACCATGCCTTTACACACAGCCAGCAAGAGAGGCATCTTCAGTAGCCGTTGTTTGCAGTGTACACTTTTCAGTAGTCTATGGCAGTATGCAGTAGAAAGTATAATGCCCGCATATCAACGTCACAGCTGGTCACAAAGAAGTCAGCTCACTGCGCCTGTAACCACTCATTATTTTTTTTTCGACCACTGTTATATCATGAAAGATGTTATGCAAGAATGTCTGTGCTATGCCATTTGTGAATCCTCATAAACTCAGTATAGTAAGATTAATGGGCAGTAAAACTATAAGATACCTTCAGTCGTTTGCTCAGTGTATGGCTCATATCCTGTGTCCTGTACTCGTGGCCCCTCTGCTGGTTTTTATCTACTTTGCTTGTGATTTCTAGCTTGGTCTCTTCTTCTGTGACTCTTGCAGGTGCTCAGTCAAGTGGTCAATGTGAGACTGCAGGTGTTTATGAATTGCCGGGCCAAGTTGTCTGAGATGCCCCTCAAGAGGTAAGCTCTAGCTCCAACAGTAATTAAATTTTCCTGTTTGGCTTGTTTGTGTATCCTCTGACCACTGCAGACTTAGCATCTCTGCCTCGCTCCTTCCCTTTGTAAGATTATACTGCACAGATGCAATCTGCTTAATAACACCACCTTATTGCTTTGGGCCTCCCCTCGCATCTCTGGTTAAATTGCTTACAGCTTGCACAGTTGCAGCTCAAGCCATGCAGTAAAAACAACAAAATAAGAAATAAACAACAACAAATGAAAGGTTGAAATTGGCCATTAACATTTACACCACTGCGTGGATGTTAGTCATTATGTAATTTGGGATGTTTTCTCTTTTGATTTTTTCCATAACAGGTTGAGTCATTTGTAGAGGTAGTGAACTGAAATAGCTCAAATGTTTTTTTTGTTTTTTTTTCTTAGTACCAAATGGAAAATTTTCAGGACGTTTATGCTCACTTTGGAGGGACAATTTACAGTATAACCTTTATTAACCTCTGTTAGGTATCAGCTGGAATGGAATTGATGGAAATAACTCTCCCCCCACAAATCACTCAAAAGCCCCCTCTCTTCCCAACCCATCACTCTTCCTGTCCCCCTGAGTGACAACTACCTGTAATTGACACATGGCTACATATTTTCACATGAGAGACAAATAAGCTGGATGTCCGCAATCGACTAGCTAGTCCACTATTCCAATACAATGGAGACACATTTCATGTTATTAGCCTTTGTAAATGAAATGTTTTGTTTTTCTGCTTGATTTCTTAAAGCACCATTCTCATATTTAACCACTAATAATCTGAGTACCTGAGAAAGAGTACAGACTTTTAAAAGCCAGAAATCTGAACACCTGGCCAAGCCTAAGAAACTTCTGCTTTGGGGAATGAATGCCCTTTTAAATGACAAAATGGCATTAAAAAATAAACAAACATTGAGATCGGAAAGATGGGGCAATGGAGCGCTGTTCAGTTTTTCGGATTTCATCATAAACATCCTGATAATGATGTCCAGCTTAAAACAAGCAGATGAGGTCCTTAATCGTAAAAGTTACATCTTCCCTGCTTCGTGTCTCTTGTAGATCTATAAGCTTGATAATCCTCCAGCCCACCCTTGGAGATACTGCTGTCAATGGGTGCACATGGATCCGCTTCTGTGTCATTGGGTTCATTTTACTCACTGTTCTGCTTCTCATTATGGTGAGACTGAGGCCACAGGGCTGCTCATCTTCTTTGTCTCACGTTTCTTCTTGTGGAGAATTGGTCATCTCACAAAATACAAACCAGTCAAATGAAGACAGTGTGTTTCCCCTGGTGTACTGGGTTTCTCCTCCTTAACTACAACCTTTCCCCCCACCACCTTCCTGTGCTGTGGTAGCAGCTCCCATCTCACCCTGGGGTCAACAGCCCTTGTTTAACCACTCTGTTCTGGTCTACAGAAAGATGGCTGCTGTGGCGCAAATTAAATCTTGAGAAATCTTCCTGTGAATTAAAAAAAAAAAAAAAATGTGACGTACCTTTTGAGGACGAGAAGGTATTCTAAATAAAAAGAATTAGAAGCGGTAATGTTTATCATCTGCCACGTTATCGACTCTCATTATGACTCCTTGGTGTCAGAGGGCGCACTCAAGAAAAGCAATTAGCATTAAGATTAGCCTGAAGCTGGCCTCTGCGACAACTCTGGGTAATAATGGAGAAAGGGAGCAATTTTGTTACACAGACCACTGCACATATTTCTGTTATTGGCGAAGCAAGAACACTGGCAGTAATAGTATTAGATTCCTAACTTTGAAGAGATTGTATATACCCAACTGTCACAATAGAGCCCATCTCTCCTGCCCTAGAAAAGAGAGTATTGCACAACATGTCATCATTTTAATGCTTCCTGAAGAGCACAGAGTGTTTGTTAGATGGATTTGTTGTCTCAGACTAGTAGCAAAAAGTCCTGCAACATGTCCAGAATTTTTTGGTCTTTCAGTTATTTACTCTGTTGTTAGGTATTATGTTAATTTGCAGTTAGTTGGCAAGCATTTTGATCATCTCTCTTTGTCTTTGCAGCTTTTACCGCTTTGTCTTGGAGTCTGATGTGGCTTTCTTGGCCAACGACACAGTGTCTCCAGGACCAGTTGCCCGCTTCATGGAGCTCCCAGAATCTCCACTCCTCACCCTGAATATGATCACACCAGAGAGCTGGATGGTGCAGGCAGTGCGCAGCCCCCATGACTTGGATAACATCCACCTGCAGGAGGTACCCTGCTCCTTAGTCAGTCCTATCATTCTCACCCGTTAAGTAGAGTCCAGATGCTTTGTATTAATCATTCCCCCTACTGATTTCTCCTCTGCAACTTGCGGTTTTGCTCCAGGTGAGTGGTGTTGTGATGGCGGAGTATGAACTGGAACACCTTTTGCTGGAGGGCCACTGCTTTGACCTGTCAACTGGCCAGCCTCCCCGTGGACTGCAGTTTACACTGGGCATGAGTCTAGACCCGCTCATGTATGACACTATTGTCATGGCTAACCTGGTCAGCAGCCTTTCTCTTCCATATCAGAGTTACTAGGATAGTTTTCTTGCATTGTTAGATAGATGACAAAACAAGTGTGGAATGTATTTCTTGTTGATTGCATTCCATAAATACCTTTTCAACTACAACAGGGATATTTCCAGCTGAAAGCAAATCCTGGTGCCTGGATCCTAAGATTACGTGAAGGAAGATCAGAGGATATCTATCAGGTTCTCACGTGAGTATTTACCAGTGGCTTTTTTATGCCATTGTAGTCTTTCCTATCATGTCCCTTACAGATACTGAAAACAAAGTTAGATAATGATGCTAATTAGGTGACTTCATCAGTAGCTCAGCATCAAGGTTGTTCTCAGCTGCCTCTTCATTTCATACCGGTAGCTATGAAACCCATCACTATGGTAACATGGAGAGCTGCTGACACTGTAGCAGCTCAAGGTTTTGATGAGTGCAGGGAGTTCTGCTCAGCGCAGAGGGGAGAGAGACAGGTAGGAGGAAAGGGGTGCTATTAAAGAGAAGACGGAGTGGAGGGATGATTCAGCTGGTCACCTGCCATGCCATCCACCTCAGACTGCAGAATATCAGCAGCAGAATGTGTTTTAGTTAGGACGGCGTAGGTGTCAGAGGCTGCATATACTAGACGGAGTGCGTTGGCGTTGTCTAATTTCCCTGGATGAATAGAAACAGTATTGTGCTTTGGTTGGTTTGATAAATTTTCTTTAAAAAAAAATGCAATTTTCAATGCTTTTATATTCTTTTTTTAAAGATTATTTTTGGCATTTTGCCTTTATTTTTCAGTCAATGTAGAGATAAACAGGAAACAGAGAGGTTATGGCATGCATCAAAGGCCCCCTCTACCAGTCAAACAGTGGATTTTACAGTTGTGTGTTATGTGCTTTAACCACCTTAATTGCAACCATATTCAGTGTCTTGCATTCTGCAGTTTTACTTTAATTAAAATGTACTGTGGCACTTTTTAATCTGATCTAAAACAAATCAAATTCGTATTTATCAAAGGAACTTGTACCCTATTGTATCATTTCTATTTAACATATCAGAGAACAATAATCACTCACATTTAAGTTGCAATAATGGCAACCATGTATGTGAGTCCGCATACGCAGCTGTAGTGCACCATACTAGATGTCCCTACAACCACAGATATTGTTCTCTCTGGCTATCCTCACATAAGATTTAGGACACGTACAGCCCTTGGTTCCCCTGGAATCATATCAGACAACCAAGATTTATTCCCCAATCCTCCAGGTGAAGCTAAGAGGTGATGTCATTTTTCACCTTGGCAGTGTCATTATTCTTGTGGTTAGCGGCACTCTGCTCTGGTTAGGTGGCCGATCAGAGTCTAGTGGGAGTGTCTGTGCTCTCCAGTCCCAGAGCCTGCGTTTTCCTCTGTGCTGCCACCGCGCCTCGCCCTGACAACGATGAATGAGATGGCCAGCTCTCCTCTCCTCAGAGCAGGGATACAGATTGATCTCTGATGCTTTCTACCACAAGCCCTAAAGGCTGAGTTGCACCGGTGACAGCAGAGGGGGCAAAGCACAAGCAGCACTTGAACATAGGGGGGATGCACTTTGGGCCAAATGAGGAGGGGGCATTTATCAAGGTTAGTTTTTTGCCTTTAGTAAGCATTGGGGTCATAATGTGCATCATAGCCTATTGCTCATCTCTGCCTGAAGTTTGCTCTCGGGTGTTTCACCATCAGACCCTGCAGATCCTGCCTGCCAAAACACATTTGCCACTGGACAAATCAGTCCTAAAACAATTACAGTGAGAGGCCAGTGTTACGCAGTCAATACTGTACAGACTTTCTCATTAAATCTAGCAGTATATACAGCATGGCTGGGTAGCAGTGATGGATAAAATAATGGTAAGGTGATTCCTAATGGTGATGGAGGGTAATGAATATGGTTCAGAGTGTGACCCTGGCAGTTCTCCCAGTATCCGCCTTTAAGTGCGTGCTCTCACTCTCTGTCAATGGTCTGTCCATTAGCTGCTATTGTCTCCTTCATAGAGCGGTCTACACTGTGTATCTTTCTTGTACTCTTGCCATGACTAAAACATGTGATCCAACCTTATTTAAGTGGTGGCCTCAAGCACACTATTAACATGCAATTATAAGTCAGACTGATTGGTTGAGTAGTTCTATAATAGTATACATTATATAAGCATTTTAATAAATGGTAATATAGTTGTTGGCCTGAAGGTATAGTAAACTGTATCACGCTGAACAGTTTATAAACATAACTGCAAATATCAGCAATGGTTGGTTTAAATGCTAAATGGTCTGGTTATAATTCTTCAAATCCACTGCTAAATGGTGTCTGTCTTCAGCTTGTAGACTACAGTTACCAGCTCAAGTTTGTTTACATCGTATCTCTGTGCCCCTGTGGGCTCATCCGTCAATCAAACACATACACTGGTGAAAAATGACAGCGCTGATCCCTATCCAAAGCCAATTGAGTAGCTTGCCAGATTTAATCTATGACTGATTTCTTGTTCAAAAGTCTATGGCTAGATTATATAAGGCTATATCATCTAGGCAGCACTAAAATGTGTAGATTGCTAAATTTCAGTCTCCATGTGGGGGTTTTACCTGTGTTAGACTAACCAACTACAGACCCATTGTTGAGATTTCATAATTGATTTTTACTCTTAGTAATGGTAGTCACTTTTTCACTCTTTATCCACTTTTTCAGGCACGACGGAACCGATTCCCCTGCTGATGCTGGTGATGTTAGAGTTGTGCTGAACAGTTTCCACAGTAAGATCATCAAAGTCAGAGTGAGTGCTATTCACATGCAGATTAAATGCTTCATAGCAGTGAACTTTATTGAATTTACAGTAAAATACTCTTCTGCGGTTTTCTATGATGTGCATGTCAGTCACAGGTCACAAATCGAGGATGCTGAAATGATTTTACACAGTCTGTGATAAAAACCAGTAGGAGCATCATTGTTTTGTGTCTCCTTTCTCATTGTAGGTGCAGAAAAAGGCAGATAAAATCAATGAAGATCTTTTAAGTGAAACTAGTGAAAGCAAAGGAATATGGGACTCCATAGCAAGGTGTGTAATCTTTCCTCACATATAGCTAAAATCTGGTTGGTTTTAGAAACCACCCGCAGCTGACTGGCAGTAACTGTGAGCTCATTGATTGGTGGGTTTGTTGATGTGCCTTCTGTTTGTCAATTATACATTGCGGTTTCAGGAGATCTTATTCCTCCCCTGGATCCAGACTGCAATATTATGCTGTAAGATCTAGTCTTGCAAAAAATATGTGCTTCTGTAGGTATGTGTGTGTGTGCATTTGTGTGTTTTCCCTCAACAACTCCTAACTGTGTGATCCTGTCTCCTCACTTAATGCTTGCTGTATGAAGTGTTTGGAGCTCTTTTGAGAAAAGGTAGGCAGTGTTGCTGCTACCCATTTAACACCTAAAACTTCTTCGTCATACTCATTAGCATGCAGTGTTTATTGGTTGCTTTCAACTGCGATGCTGCTCTGAGTTTTGTGATGAATCTGAATGACTTCATGTTATTCTCTAGCAGGATATGTTAATATTGTAGAGATGTGTTTAGATATCATATTTCCATTTCCATGTTCATGTTCTTTTTGCATTTATTTATTTATTTATTTATGTGGTCCTTTCAGCAACACCCCAGGCAGTGTTGTAGCCTGTATTGCCATACATGTGCTGGAATTAAAAATATGTGTGAATTTATCATCAACTATGATGTGTTACTGATCAGACTGCAGGTAAAGAAGGCTGCCTAAGTTCTTGGAACTTGGAAAAGGAACCAGAACAAGGGCAGAAAGTTGAGCACTACCAATTAGATAAATCTTAGCTTGTCTTGCCACAGAGCACAAGCACTGGAACCATAATCTTGAGTAGGGGCTTGACTGTCTGTCCTCCTGGAGCTGATAAAGGTGAGGTGGGCCAGCTCGATGTGGGGATACTTTTGAGCCCTTGGCTAAGCAGCTCTGTGTTAAAGTTTTCCCTGATGAACAGGAGGACCATTTTATGAGGTCTGTACCTATGACCCTATATGTACCTATGAATAGCCATTTAGAGTACATTGCCTTATTTGAGTCTCTATTTGAGGCCCTGGAAGAGGCTTCACCTATGAATTCCAGAGTGTTCATATGGGTAACACTTTAAATATACCTGACATCAGAGAAACCTTAGACCAAAGATGCATGATTGACTTTGTAGTTCATTTGGCAACTGCTATTGCCATGTCTTTGACACTAGAATCCCCCAGCAGTGAAAGGATGCAGCAAACTCATTGCTGGACCTCGCATACAGTAGGAGCAGTACAGGCTCTGTCCTAGTCATGGAACCATGGACCAGCTCTTTACTCTCCTAAAACCTATCCAATATTGGAGTTTGCTCCAGTCTACATATCATTTGTGGACATTGGAAGAGCTATGGCCATTTATATTGGGGTGTGTCTTGCTGTTGGTGTGAGCCATCTGGCCCTTGTGTAATTGGAGTCAGAGCTGTGTCCGTATTCTCAGCAATAGATCAAGCACATTCTTGGTAGGCTAACGCACAGGGACCGTCCGAGGGCCTCGGAGTAGAATCACTGTTCCTCCATGTCGAAATAAGCTAATTCAGGTGGTCCGGCTGTCTGAGCGGGATACTTCCTGGACACGTCCTGTAGAGGTATTCTAGGCTTTTCCAACTGGGAGCATACCCTGAGGCAGACCCAGAACAAGCTGAGGAGATTACAAATCCCTCCCGGCTTCGGCATCTGCTAATTAGGAACTCTAGGATGTCGTTGGGGAGAACAACATTTGAGCTACCCCATATAGCCTGCCTCTGCTTTGACCAGGACCAGATAAGAAGCTGAAAGAGGTTGGATAGATGGATGAATAGATTTATAATTGAATCTAATCTTAAGACCATTTCCCATGGTATGCTTGCATTTGAGTAATAAAAATACTTATAACATTAAAAGGTTAATCGAAAGGATAAATAAGATGGTTTCAAGAGACATAATTGTTCCTTAAGTGCCTGTGATGCATGAATCTAAAATTAACTTAAATTTGACGGCATTTGGAGGGAGGACAGTACTTTCTTCTGGCATGATTCCAATGCACCCTCCTTTCAAAACAGGAGTTCATAAATCTTAAGCCTTAAAAGCCACTCATCATGTTGAGCAAAAAGGTCTAACCATATCTCCCATGCTGTGCTTATACATTCTTTGTCCACCCGGTCCTGTGTAAATAAAATTGCTCTGGAGAGTCTAACCTCAACATCCTCCCATTAACTTCGAGTGGAGGCAGCTGGTCTCAACTCAAGTTTGAAATGACGACTAATTAAAAGGCAGACGCATCAAAGCATTGTTGAAAACTACCAAATACAATATAGTCAAATGATACACAATGTTAAAACAATATCTACTTGTTTGAAAGTTGAAGCTTCATAAGAAAATATTTTAGAACAGACTGGTTTTTCATAGTCCCAGAAATGGCTGCACAACATGTTAATAATGCTAGGTTTTGCAAAGGTAAAAGGGTCTGAATATTTCAGCATACACACTGTGTGGACCTTGGCCTGTGATCTTACAAAATATTGGTGGTTTGAAAGTAAAGGTGTCTTTAATACCCATTACCTCATTTGTAACATCAGAATGCTTTGAGGGATTAAATTGTAAAGGGTGGCAGTGAAGGCCATGTATTAATTTAACACCTCTGAAGAATTAGTGAGGTGGATCCATCCATCAGCAAGCATCAGCAAGTCTGAGGGACAGAGTTTTTACATATGATCATGTTCTCTATTGAGCAATACTGAGCCTGACTGAAAATAGATTCTTTCTTGTTCTTTCTTTCTTTCTTTCTTTCTTTCTTTCTTTCTTTCTTTCTTTCTTTCTTTCTTTCTTACATCTTTGTTCTTACACATTTGTTTTATAATTTCATTCTTTTGTGCTTTTTCTCTTGCTCTCTTCTTTGTCTTTGGCTGTGAGTAAGATGAAGGAAAGTTGTCCTCTCTTGCTACTTTCAGCCTGGGGAACTCTGAGGGTTTAATCTCCTTTATGCTGTTCTTAGAAATCAGAAACATCAGGGCCACACAGGGTGTGAAAGACTGTCATTGGTTATGTTACCTGAGGGACTTATTCAGACTTCAGGTGGAGGGTGCAGTAAAAGCCACCTCGCCCCAAGTAGTCATATGCTCTTCAGTGAAGAGTGTTAGATGGGGCCTTTGTCCAGTCGACAGACAGGGCCGGAGGCATTATGTTTTCAGGATGTCCGTCCTTCCAGTCGTCTGTGCGTCCATCCCATTCTTGTGAACACGATAACTCAGTAACGCTTTGAGGGAATGCCTTCAAATTTGGCACAAATATTCACTTGGACTCAAAGATGAATTGATTAGATTTTGGTTGGCAAAGGTCAAAATTCAAGGTCATGGTCACCTAATGTTATTGTGAATCTGAATTTGATATATCAGGAACACCCAGAGAGAATTTTATTACATCTGGCAAAGATCAGAGTGGTTCTGTCTGTGGCTTCGTGTCTGCTGGTTTCAGTATGGGTGCTTTAAAAAAAACACATGTACTATACATCAACAATATTTCTTTCGGTCTTTTTGTCCACTGTCTTGCATGCGACTTGATGTTGATTTCTTGATGATCTCCACACAGATCTTAGAGAACGATCCTGCTCAATCTACAGAATTGGAGTTCTGTTTGGTTAGTGCTGTCCACTGCTCAGGATTTATTCAGAGCTCTATGGATCCTTCCAGAGGTCCAGATTATCTCGGGTGAGTCAGCCAAACCGGCTCTCACCTGACCCTCTAAAGCTGCTTATCTGGGGGGCCCCACTGTTATGGTGGAGGCCCTTCATAATGGCTGGCTTAGTCATGACAGACATTCAGTATCCGCAGACCCCACAGATGTGTGGTGACTCCCCAGAAGCCAATTCATCAATGACAGAAAGCAATGCTTTGATTTTAGGAGGATATTTGGTGAAGTGCAGGGAGAGAAATGCACAAAATGTTTTCAGAAGGACAGGCAAGAAATGACAATTTAATGGGAAATAAAAGTGTTGTGTTGTATGGTTGTGACTTGCTTACCAGTCAGACTCTTGCATGTGTGTGCCAGAGAGTTGGTTTTAGAGGACATGTGGAGACAAACATTATGCTCCCTCCCCTCCCTTCACACCTCCCTCTCACTCACTGGTGTCTTCCTGGAGCCTCAGGGCCATAGCTGTGGTTGTGATTGAATGTGGGAGAGACACTCCTTCCCTCATCAGCAGTCTGTTTCAGACAAGGACACACAGTTTGACTGCAGACACATCTACCCTCCAGCACAAGTCCTGATTTCTGTCCGCTAAATGTGCCTTGCATCATGAGCCACTGCTCTTTAATAGCAGTTGGGGTATGTTGGTGCGTGTGGAGAGGGTCCTTTGGAATTTCCTCTCGTCTGTACTGTTATCTCAACATAAAAAAAGTTTTGCTCATCTATTTGTTAACCAATTTTTTCTAAATTAATTAATAGGTTAATTCAGACTGAAAGGTAAAGGGCTGACTTGATTGGCACTATCTTTATGTCTGCACACTGTTTGCCATTTTCTTTCCCTTAGGCACAGTGAGTGTTTTTCCTTGCTTGGTGGTTTGGTATTTAGGAGGCTTAGCATACACCACAATGGGTGGCGAGGGTTTGACCACATTTCAGGCTGTCTACCTTCCATGTGTTTGTACCTGGGCAAGAATTTCACGCAGCACCCTGTTCCTATACTATTGTCATCACTTTAATTAGTGAATTGCTCTCCAAAATCAGACAACTCTCCTTTTTCATGTTTTCCTAATCTGTCTTCACATTTGAGAAACTCGGAGTAACAAATAGAACTAGAACAACAAGGAGTGTTGTCAGGTCTAAAAACCTAAAAACCCCATTAGTTCTAAAATCACTGAAAACCACAGTGTTGTGTGGCTTATTGCTTTTATAAAATGATTACTACATATATTTTGTAAGCTATCATAAAATAAACACAGAAATTAAAAAGTTCAGTAATTTATTTTTTAACAAATAATCATTCTTCCACCAAGAAATGTAGTTCCTCAGTG